ATCCATTCATTGGAGTATATCTTTATTTTCAGCAATGGCGTCAACTGAATAGAACATTTCCAGTTCTGTAGTGTTGGAGGAGTCTTTCTCCCAGAGTAGATGGAAGGACACAAAGTGACCAGATAGTTCTGAGTTGTCATTCATGTGATACCCAGCTTTATAGAATTGCAGTGTTAAGACCACTGACTGGATGAGCAGTGTTTCTTGGTATACACCTTAAAAGCATCAGAAATATTGTGTAAGAATCCATTCTATGACTTTTAAAAATATTTGTAGCCTTGATCAAAAGTAGTCATTTTTCTTTTCTTCAAAACAGCACTGCAAATTTTTTGTTCTTCATAAAAGGAAAAATATGACATAAAAAGCATAATTTGTCTGACTCTGCTTTCTACGTGTTTTAGCATAATTTAGCAAGGAGACTTCTGTTCTCTTACTGAGTATAAAGGAAACTAAGAAACTAAGTGGTGGCTAGTTCCCAGAACAGAAATTATATTGGCCTAGATGGCAGAATTTTGAGATGGTCTTCATAGGAAGGGATGTAAGCTATAGGATGTAAGAAAAACAAGTTAGCCATGAATGGCCCATCTTTTGATAACTCACACTTCCTAATTCATCATCTTTGCTTTTTGTTAGACTGCTTAGGCACCAGAGTGTTTCACTATTCATGGTTTTGACCTATGTTGGGGAATAACTATCATAAAACTATACTTTCTTTCTGATAGCTACCTGCAAAAGAGTATAGCCCATGTCCTTTAAAAATATAATAGTTAAATTAAAGAGGGAAATTTAGACACTTGGAAGCATTAGATGTGGGCTTTTGGACATTTATGTGTTTATGAGTAATTGTAACATGATTTTTGAACATGATAATATTTGAGGAATAGTTAATTATAATGATAATATTTGAGGAATAGTTAAAAATGATAATATTTGAGGAATAGTTAATTATTTCCATCATAAATTATATTCCATCTATAATTGCAAGCATTTAGAGTAACCTAGGTAAAGAGTCTACACATTAAGAAATAAAGAAATTAGAAGGGCAAAGGTTGAACTACTTTAATAGCCAAGTGAGGCATGCTGATTGAACCACCATGTTGCTGGGACTTTTATTCTAAAGTGCACAATGAAAACACCACTCATCTCTGAGGAGATGACTCTTCTCATGTGGTACTTCCTGTGGCTTGTCTTACCCTTGGGTGTCACTCTCGAGGTCCTGTGCCATGCCATTGTCTGCCACAGTAGATGCTAGAGCAGTATTCCATCTTAGTGATCGCCAAGGGTTACTGCCAGAGTGATGGATGGGAAATGACTCAACCATACATTTATTTGTTGTGGCAAGAGCAGATTTCTCAGCTAGATGGACTTAGAGGTTATTAAATATTATCTAGGTGAACTCTTGCTAGTGAGTTTTTAAATCACTGATGACAGCTTTTCTCTCTGCCCTTTCACTCGCATTCATAGTTCAGCCCGTTGTTTTATCACGGTGAAGGGAAACAACATAATTTTCAAAACTACGCTTGTTCAAGCTCAGCTCCCCTTTCCTTTTGTTTTAAAGCAACCTTTGCCTGGCCCTGTTAAAATAAATTCATGTTTTAAAGAAACAGCTCCTCAATTTGCTAGTGATTCATTTCCTTATTTTCCACTCAGAATTTAGCCTCTTTAATTGAGTGTTATTAGAAAGATTCTCAAGAACTTTCAGATTCTTTACATTGATAATACTTGGTTCCATGGATATGTTTCTAGTTGCTAATTTGTTCAATCATCTGTCAAACTGTATTAAGGAACTAAGGGCAGGAAGTGTTAGCTTGAAGGTTTCTGCTTTTCTCCCAGAAACCATTTGATACCTAAACATTGGTGTTTTGAGAAAATGTGCTTTAAATACTGCTGTTTCTAGGGGACTTTCCAACATGAATTAGTCCTGACTAGCTGAGATGGAGTCGTGTTTATAGTTTTTACTATTTGGCTTTACAGTGCTGCCCTTTTCTTCCCTAGGCCCATCAGGGCTTAAGGTTTATATTTTAGCTCCCGTTTGGATCTCATGCATTCCACACAACATGACAAAAATTCCACCGAAACAAGACTTGTTTCTCTCTTTTTCTGTGCTGTGTACTTGGAGCTCAATATGGGGCTGACCCAGAGCAAATTCTTTGTCTGGTAATGGATAAGAGAAAGCTTTTCAGTGTTCTTGTTCCTCAGATACTTAACTTTTTAAATCTAGAAATTTGGAAATTATTGACTCAAGCTACTGGGGACTATACAGCTTGTAGGAATACTAGCTTCAACCAGGAAAATGATTGGCAGATGTCTGAATTTAGGTGCTTTGGCTAAACTTTGTGGAAAACCAGTGCCCGTCACAGCACCTGTCATTCCACGAGACTGCCCATGTTTGTGCCATCCACCTGATCTCTGAAAGCAATTCAGTTCTTTTTCAGATCTCGGAGGTTGCAGTGTCTTGAGATGCCCCTAGTAATTTGAATCATCTGTGACTGTGAATTATCTTTGCAAGGAATCATGCTTGTCCTTTGGCTTACTAAATGCCTGTCCCAGGCTCTGCAGCATAAAACCTCCTCAACTGGTTAACCTAGAGAAGCAAGGGGATTTATTGCTAAGAAATACAAATAGGAAATTAATAGCAGCTACAGGAGAATCTTTTCAAATTCTTAATTCTCTTTTGCAGACACAGCTAACACTCTCACTAACAAAATCCTGTCAAGCTTAGAATAATAGCTTGCTAATTTTGAATATCCAAAGATTCGCAAAGATCTTAATATTATGAGATACTAGGGACCATCAAACTAATGATGAAATACTTTTTAATTAGGTGCCTTTTTCAATGTTAACCAAAATAAGGCAGGAATTTTAAAGGTTGATTTTTGTTTGCATATCTTCCCTTAGCGTCTCTTCCTTTCAGGATAAAACCTTTTAGTACTCAATCATATTTTTAAGAAAGCCTCTTTTTAAAATCTCACTTGATCATATGTTTCTGTGAATGTCTGAGGTCATGTTTTTGGAAGGCCCGCGTGATCAAGTAGCTACAGACTTTGTGACAAGAATAATATTTAATGTCAATTTATGCTTACTAGTTATAAAATTAATATGCATATGATGTAATTTATGTTCAATAGTATCCAAGTGAGTAAAAGGGGGCTGATCACCTTCAGTTTACAGACAAGGACATTAAGGATCAGAGGTGAGACAATATAATTCCCCAACACAATAGTTCTTATCTGATTACACTGTAAATCCAGGAGTTGTCCAGGCTCTTCCACACCATGTACATCTTAATACATGCATGCATTGCTTTGAGAATTCTTTGAACCCTGTGGTTCATCAGTGCACTCACAGAAATTACTAGTAGATAGGCTCAAAACACAGCAGCTGTAATAGATAGGAATGTACTCTCTAATTCAATTGGTCTTTCACCTCCACCTCCATCTGTGATACTGTGTTTGTCTCTGCTTCCCTTTCCTCATTATGAATGAAGATTGTAATATACACTAGAATGAGAGACGATATACATGTTGCCTTAACACAGTAGATTTCATAATCAGTTACTACTGAGTACAATAGTATTACTATACTACTATTGTTGATATGTGGACTTCGTTAAACTATTTTTCATAAAAGAGTAGGAAAATCTCTAAGCTAAGTGTCAGGGCATGAGATTTAAATACTGCTCCAGTAAGAGATTTTTGGAGCAGAGTGAGCTCAGTACAATTCAAGTGTGTTTTTTGGGGGGGTTGTGACTCAGAGAAAGATGGAATGACAGCAGAAATCCACTGTGACTGCCTCAGTTGTGGATTAACCACAGGCAAGAAAGCATGAATACAGGCAAGTTTGAAGCCCATACCTGTGCTGCTCATCTCATTCAGCAAACCATTCTAGGTCTACAGAGAAGTCCAAGATAGATTGACAAAGGTTGAATTGTGGTGTGTCTGTAAGCGAAGTTGTAAATTATGTTGAAAAGTTTCATTACTTCAAAGGAAAACTCTCAGTAAAGATTCAGAATAATTAGTGATCATCATTTTCAGATTCATTCATGAGAATTTACAATACTTTTGCTCTGAAATTTGTTTAAGCACCTAGGTCATTGCAAATATAGACACGGTGTGCTGTTCTGGAGTCAGTTTTGAGGGACCCCTGCCTTAATGATTTGATTGCATCCATCAAAAGTATTTAGAGCAAAATGGCCCTGCTATTTTCTGAAATATTTGCCTGGAAGTTATTCACTGATAATGGATTTCTATTTGAAAACCATTTATTCCCAACTCAAGTATTTACTGTCCAGATGGAGAAGCTCTCAGGCGCAGAACATAATCTTAGCTCATAAATGTTTTCTATTAATGACCTTGATTCTCCATCTCAAGATGTCTTTTCAAAAACAATATGATTGTGGGTAAAAGCAGCAATAACAACCCTGTTAGCCTGTGGAGGAATACATTAATGATCTCGGATGGATTCTTGACAGTCATGATGATGAGCTGATAATGGAAAGCTTTAGAATAAAGATAAAAATACTAGTTCGCTTTGAAATGCGTCGTGTAGTGCAAGAAAGATTTCCTACAGCTTTATTGAGATATAATTTACATACCATAAAACTCACCCAGCATATTTGCACAGGGAATCACCACTAAATGTAGAGGGCCATGTAACTACCACCACAGTCCATCATTATAACACTCCAGTACCTCCCAGAACTTCTTGGAGTTTGCTTAGTCTCTATCTTTGTCTTCATCCCCAGGCAACCATTGATCTGCTTCCTGTCCTTATCAACTTGCTTTTTGTGTAAGTTTCATATAGATTAACATTATTTTGAAAAGGATGCCAATTTACTTGAATGGTTATATGAATACATTTATTCAATGCAGTTTAGTACGTTAAGGATGTAGTTGGACCCCAGATAGATATAATTACACTAAACTCTATATCCTATTAGGGTTAGAAGATTTGGCTGGTCTATTTTCTGATTGGTTTTAGAATAATGCCAAGTTTGGAGACTTTAGTTCATGACTATATCTGATGAGTTAATGTGATAATGACTTGATGAACAGTCACAGAAATCCTACTTTCAAGCAGGTGCGTAGAGAACAGGTACTGTTTCAGGCATTAAGATACATTTTGGGCTAACATTTGTGATAGGTAGAGAATATTCACTCCGCATTAGAGGCAACAAAAGGAACATATGATTAGAGAGAGAGGTTAAATAATTTATTTGGCTGCACAATGTTGCCAGAACCCAAATTCTGTGTTCAGGGCTGCTTTATTGAGATCTATTTATCTTGAGGTACTATAGTAAGCAGACAGTATGGTTTACAGCATCTACAGTGTCCATTAGTTTCTATTTACTTCCACGCTGGTGTATGCTTAATTATGTGTCTGTGTGGTGTATATGCATACGAGTGCAGGTACTTGTGGAAGTCAGAAGAGGCTTTCAGATCCCTAGGAGTTGTTTGTAGAGGCCTTTGGGTGCCACCAGACATGAGATCTGGGAATTGAACTCAAGACCTCTGCAGGAGCGATACATGTTCATAAACATTGAGCCACATTTTCAGCCCTAATGTGGGTATCTTCTTGAAGCTACTTCCCAGCTTGCCCTTTTGGTCCCCGTGTATATTCTATTATGGAGAGTATGAAGGGGAAAAGAGAGTCAACATGTTTAGGATATTTACCAATCCGTGAGGTGAATACAGGGGTGATCATGGAACTCTTTGTGAAATGAGAGAGGCAAGGAGAGAAGAGAGCTTTGAATTATGAAGGGAATGAGCAAGCATGCATGGGAGAAATATAAGACAAAAAGAATTTCAGTGAGCTTGAAGCGAAGGATGAGAGTTCAGTTTTTCAGTTATGCCCGAGGTGGTGATTTCATGAATAAAGTCAGTTTTGATTAAAATTCTCTTTAGGGAAGAGCTGATCTTTAGGAAGAATCCTAATGACTTCCCATTTGGGGCTGAAGGCAGATGAGGAAGTCTTTGGTCTCTAGAGCAGCTGGTGCTGACCCCAGTGGGACAAAACTCTGATTTAAGATGGCTACAGCTGACTCCACTTTGTTTCACTAAAGATTTGGCTTGCAGTGAGACGCCCTGGCTTGGATGCCAGTCAGGCCTGCCTGCTGCAAAGGCTTCCGGGTTACAAGCCAGTTGGGAATGCTGCCAGATCTGTTGCCTATTCAGCAGTGAAATGAGGTGGCACTGTCAGTGCTATTCCTTATTGTGTAGGTACCGTTTGAGAGAGTGAAGAGTAATCTTATCTTGAGGATTAACTAGGGACTTACAAAAGGGATTTCAGAGATAGAAGGTGCCTAGACAATCCTCCAGGGACTCATCAGGAAAAGCTCCTAGGAGCTGCAGGAGGTGGCAGAGCTGCCCTGTTCTGCTCATCCGATGCCCACGCTACCTGGTCTAGGATCCACAATGTCTGAGTCCGGGTGCCCAGCTAATCTCAGACAAGAGTGGAAGTAAAGCTGGCAGGGCAGAACTGGTAACAATTTCTGCTCCTGACTAAGTGGGTCCAGGGGCAGTGCTGGCCATACTGAAGCCACAGGTGGCCAGGAGCCACCGTTGTCTGCATTTGAGAGACTGCTGGATATGCCCAGCGCTAGACAGCTGACCAAGTTGTCCAACTTTTCACTAATGAAAAGTGTTGCTGCTGCTCACAGCCTTCATTTATTGCTTGGATGAAACCTGGAATTGATAACCGACACACTGAACACCAAAGGAGCTTCAGCACCTGTAAGTCATCACCTGGCTGCCCAAGTCAAGTGAATCCAAAATGCAGATGCTTACAGGTCCTTGCCCCACATATGGAACAGATGGAAGACCTGGGGATTGAGGTGGGTTATGCAGCTTCTTTGGGCTCCCAAGACCCACATGCTAAATGACTAGAGGTAGACTATAGCACCGGGCAGGATCGCTGGTGCCAGGATCCAGTGCCATAGCCTGAGCCTTTGTGGGAGTGCCCTTCCAGCTTTGAGCACGTACAGTCAGGCCTGGTAGAACATTGGGTGGTGTCAACAGAGAGTATCAGCCGGGCCTGAGCACCAGATTGACAGTGACATGGCCAACCTTAGAAGAACAAGCGAAGGCCGTGAAGGTTAGGACTGTAGCCGCAGTTATAGTGTTGTCTCAGGACCCTGAGTAACACTTGACAGAGGAACCATCTCCTGGCTTCATTCAGTGTAATCCTCTCAGTAGGAAGTCTAAAAAGGGCTAGAGGTTCCCAGGGAGTGACAGCATATGGTTCCTTTTCTTTCTTCCCTGGGGATCTGAGGGCTCTGCTTTCTGCCTACTACAGCGGTTGCCAGAAAATCCTACTGTGCCTCTGACCTAATGATGGGCCTAGTTCATGGCCTTTTACTTCCTTCATCCCCAGGCACAGATTGCAACTTTTCTAGGGAGGAGACGCTATGGGTCCTATTTGTTACCACTTTTAGTTTTATGTAACTTGTGTGTTCCATTGCCCCCTTTCCCTGCCATGCTGTGCTCTTTAGGCTCTCATCACCTGACCCTTCTCTTTACTTAGCTAATGAGTAGCTGAGTAATCCTGATGGGGCCCTTCTGTCTCCAGCATAACCCACAGGTGTTTCTTTACAGATTACCAATCATTGAATGTCTATGCCCAATCCTATGGGTATCATCTGGAGAGCCCCTCTCCTGGGGTAGAGAACTCCTGCAAGTCAATTTGCCATAATTGTAGTCTAGACACTTTCATCCTAGGATCTTACCATGCTAAATTGTTTCCTTTCTTCTCTCCTCCCCTCCAGAAATGCTGCTTCTTTAGTGACCCTAGAACCAAATAATAACCCTTTCCTAAACATAGCTCTTTCTTAGCTCTGATCATCTTGGAAGGCTGTGGCAATTGAGGATTTTCATTATCTTTAGTGAGTTGGTTGGGGAAGGAAGGGCAATAGAGATTGTACAAAATGGTATTTACGTATACCTCAGTGTAAAACAGGACACAGAAATAACTATGGGTTCACAAATGCTCTAGAAAGGAGGCTTTCAGAGATAGTCAACTATGCTAAATGTTTTCTGTAAACTGCAGATTCAACCTTCAGTTGCACAAGTGGTTTGAAGTCATGAACTCCAATAGCTAAATTCAGATTTCTTATTTAAATTAGAAAAAGCATATGACTTTTGCATGTGGGGACTAGTTTTTGTTAACATATGATCCCACAGTAATTAGGAATTCAAAATTAAACATATGTATGTATGTATGTATATGTATGTATATATGTATGTATGAATGTTATAGACCAGTTTCATAAAAATCCACGCTGGACAACAGAGTTTTGGAAAATGCACCGCAAGTAATCATGCAGGTTGACATGACTCCTGTGTGGTTTATTTATCTGCATAACCCAGTGAAAATAGGTTCTATGCATACATAGACAAAATTACTGAGTTCATAGTGGAGGCCCTGGACTGGCATTGTCAGTAAAATCTTATAATTGTTAAAATGGAGATTCTCAGCTATTTCCTCAAACACACTGGCTCAGAAACCCAGGAAAGGGACAAAACTTTGAGGTCCCAACAACCCTCTAGATGATTCTGACCTGGCCTACAGCTTGAGAACTCCTGACATAACAGGATGGGAAGTTAGCAAGAACGGGGCCGCTGTGTCCTCCGTGCTGTGGAAGACAAGGAAGGCAGAGCTGCAGCAAAGGAGCAGAGGTTCAGAGTGAGAAGCATCTTGTGGTAGTGCTGTGCTAAGCCCCGCATGCCCCTCCTTCCCCACAACAGGACCAAATCCTTTTTACATGCCCAAGGGTTCTTTTCTGCTCACACCAGATAGAAGTGGGCTTGCTTTTGGGACACCTGTGGCCCAGAAGTCATCTGAGCCTAACACTGTTTCAGTAATTAAATAATTAATGAAATTTTAGTAATTAACTCTCTTGTTAATTATTTTTTCTTGTATTAATTTCTCATGTATCTATGTATATACACCCACGAATCCCCATGCAACCTCATCAAATACAATATATTTGAACAGGATCACTGGGTCACTTGTGTCTCACACATGTGCTATGTTGTCACCTTACTTTGGTTTCCTCACAGGACATTATTACTTGAGATGATTGATTTATTTCCTGCTTTTTGTCTGTCTTGGAGTTTTGTGTAAGTTCACTTGTGTTGATGATGACCCCAGAATGTTGCCTGATACATAGTAGGGGTATGGTGAACAATGACTGATGATTTTCTCCTTTGATCTAGATGATAAACTACAAGGGGACAAGGTGTTATGTCAGCATAACATCACAAACACATGCAAAGACACAAGCATTAGAAAACAAAATGGAATGGCAGTGGTGTCTATGTTTTTATTTTGCATGGATCATTTGCGTGCATGTGTGAGCATGTGTGTGCGTGCATGCATGCGTGTGTGTGTGTGTGTGTGTGTGTGTAAAATGTGTGGTTGTAAACTATGAGTAGAAATTCCCCATACTAAAATGTATGCCAAACAGTTACAATTTGTAACAAAATATTGGTTTAACACCCTTATATGAAACATTTGGTCCCTAGTTTTGGAAACTAGTTCCTTCCATTCCTCAGATCTTGAAGGAGAGCATAAAAGATGTATATAGAATAGATTCTTACAACCAGCGACTGTTAAATGTATTGTTCTATATAAGGCTTTACTCTACTAATACAGAAAAATGGTTATTTATGTAAGTAGTGAGATTAAAAAAATCTACAAAAAGCTCTGTGGTCAGTTCCGGTTAGATTATATGACCAAGTGAATTTCCTGCATATATTCCAGATTTTAGTTTTTAGGGATTTTCATTTTGAATTCACATATATAATCATTTACAGACCAGATAGTTTATAATAACAATTAATATTTACATTTTTCTTTTTTCTGTCTCAAGTTCTATTTATGCACAGTTAACTTATGAAGCACTTGAAGCTCTGAGGTATTAAATATCTTTGTCAGAGTGTTGTGCACAAATCAAATCTAAACCTGAACCCAGATCTAAATACACTTCTCTTACTACATATCTGTATACTAGTGTTAAGGATGGCCATGTAGTTAAGTCATCTTTTCTTCATATTATGAATCAGAGTTTGCCCTTGAAAGTAATAGTTCTTTTAATATTGTGTGTGTGTGTGTGTGTGTGTGTATAGATCAGAGTTTAATACCAGGTTTCTTCCTTAATGGATTTTTGCCTTGTTTTTTTGAGGCAAGGTCTTTCACTGAAGTTGTTCATTGACTGGGTATCTGTGATGGTCATCAAGCCCCTGCTCTGTGGTCCTCTCATTCCTGCTTCCCTACACTGAGAATACAGCCACAGGCACACATGGTGGTACTTAGTTCCTTTCTTCCTCTTTCCTTCCCCTCCCTCCCTTCCTCCTTCCCTCCCTCCCTCCCTCCCTCTCTTTCCCTTCCTCCCTCCCTCCTTTTTTCTTTTCTTCCTCCCTCCGTTCCTCCTTTCCTCCCTCCCTCCCTCCTTCCCTCCCTCCCTCCTGCTCTTCCTCCCTTCCATTCTCCCACCCTTCCTCCCTCTCTTCCCTCCCTTCCTTCATGCTTCCTTCCCTTCTCGTTCCCTTCTTGTTCCGTTTCTCCCTCCATCCCTCCCTTTTTTATTCTGGTTCTCACACTTAGGCAGCAAGCAGTCTGCTCACTGAGTCATCTCCCCAGTCCCTTAGTGCCTCCTGTGAACAGTTCCCTTACGCTTTACACCACCATCTGATTTCTCATATTTTGCAACCATTTTTAATTCACTTTTGTTGCAGATGTAGGGGCAGTTTTCTAATAGTCTCTGTTTTCCTTTTTTAGGTCCCAAAATGTTTTGATGAAAAGGCTTGTTATCAAGTACCTAAGCGCCTGTAATGCACACTTCCTCAGGTTCCAGCCAGTGGCTCTATTTACTTGAGCACAGCTAGAGTAGATTTTGATTCCCCATTTCTTTAGTTGCTTTCAGGAATAAAATAAGCAATTTCATTTAAAATTATTAGTTCCAATTTTACTTCTGTCTTATTTACCGAGGGAAACTTTATAGTTAGCTGAGATTTCAAGTTATTTTCAGCACAGCTACTAGGAAATTGTTTGACAGCAGCCAAGCACGCTCGGGTTTGCTGCCTTTGGTCAAACCCTGTGTTCTAAGGTGAGACAACTGAGGGAGCACAGTCCTCATCAAAGAGTCACCTTGCTCTCTGCCTTAGAATTTCTGGGTTTACACCCATGCCAACAATACACATAGGTGCCAGGTACATCTTAAGAAATCAAGGCTCTAAAACAAACTAAGGGCATCAACATTTGAAGTAGAAACACGGTCCTTTGTTTTACTAAAGGCAGATGGTTCCAGGAAAAGGAAATTGAGGACCTTTGGCAGAGTCAAAGGATTGTATTACTTTCACCTTTATTTCAGAAATAGAAATGCCATGTTATTAACCATGGTAGATGCTACAATTTGCTTTTCCCTAGTTTTTCATGCTACCTTTCTGTAAGGGATTTGTATGTGCGATTACAGTCATTGGAAGCAGACAACAATATCTCATTTACTAAAATTATTAATAGATTATTTTGCTCTTCCTAATCATAATAATAATTAACACAATGGGTGCAAGAAAGATGGCTCAGTGAAGTTCAATATGTGTTCGTTACCTGTCTATGGCTTTGATAAAATTCCTTATAGAAGGAAGAGGTTTATAGTTCCTGAGGGAGATTTTCTAATAGCATGGCAGAAGGTAGCCAGAGTGGGACACTGAGAGGTCTCATCTCCATCCACATT